TTCTTAGTGTTATCCAGTTCACTGGTTCTGTTTTCCATCTCTTCTATTCTACTCCTTTGCCCTTTCAGTGTATTGTCTATTTCTGAGATTCTATTATTGGTCGTTTGGACCTCTTTCTGTAGGATTTGGTTTCCAATGCTGCATCTATCTTATTTGATTGTTCCTGTAGCACTTTCCTGCCTTCTTCCTTATTTTTCTTAACGCCATTGGGGAGTGTTTTGAAATATTTTATAATCATTTTTCTGAATTCTTTCTCAGGCATTTCCAAGGACTGCCCTCCTTCCAGAATGGAGTCCAGGTCTACCACTAGGTCATTTCTGTCAGACATTTTATTGTGTTTTTGGGCATGTGCTGATATGGTCATCTGCTTTTGCTTCATGGACATGTTTAGTGTTTATCTGTGGCCTTAATATTTAATTATGTAGTTTGGTATGTTTTATGCTTTCTGATTGCTTCCAGGTAGATGTGATCACACTCTTCTTATTGCTTAACTCAGAGTAACTTTCACAGGTGTTGTCTGGCTCACTGGTATAGGGCAGTTGGTATTGGTTCTTGCCTGGAAATTGGTGTTTTATACAGCATGATTGTAGCTTGATTATATGGCATCGGTTGCTGTCTCTTCTTGGGTGATACATGGAAAGAAAGATTCCCCAAATGTAGAAGGGGAGCATAAAACACCAAACAGCAACCGCAAAAATCAACAAAAATTAGACTGGATACTGTAGTCTATAATCACAGAAAAGGGAGAAGGGGGAAAGAATGTGGAAAAAAATTATCTGTAGTCTGAGTAAAGGAACTCTGGTAGCGCAGTGGTTACGAATTGGGCTGCGAACCGCAAGGTCACCAGTTTGAAACTACCAGCTGCTCCAAGGGAGAAACATGAGGATTTCTGCTCCTGTAAAGATTAACAGCCTCGGAAACCCTGTGCAGGGTTGCTGAGTAGGAACCGACTCCATGGCACATCACAACAACAACATGAGTATGACTTTCATGTCCTCTTTCAGTTTCTTGCCTTCAAATCTGCCTGAGAGATTTCAAGATGTCACTGTTGGTTGTTATGCTGTACCTCAGGATTTAACTTAATTTTTGGCCTGTTTTGTTTTTAAACTCTCTTTCCTACTCCACACCCCTTGTTTTCTGGCCTTTGCCAAATTGAAAAACAAACAAACAAACAAAAACACTTCAGGGCCTGCTCTTGTGCTGAGAGTATCTGTGCGCATGTGCGGGAATCCAGCTCTCCCAGGGTCACGGGACACGAGAGGAGATGTGGAGTCGGCAAAAATGAAAGGAATCGAGAAGCCTCTGCTTAGTTGGCTGATGGGGCTCTCTCTCTTTCTCCTCTCTCTTTGTGCCCCGGCTCAGCAAGTCTTTATTTTTATACTTAAACTACACAGTACAAAATAATTTGATACTTTGATTTCCCCTTCAATTATTACACAGTTTTAATCATAACATTCCTCCACCCTGCGATCATACAACCTTAACAAAAGTATTTCTGTGCTGTCCAAACTGATCTTTCCATATACTGTTGATTTTTCAACTATTGAACATTTTCCTTTTGACATCATGTCCTCTCCTACGTAAGTGATAAATTGCTTCTTCTTATTTCTACTAACAGATCAAGTTAAACCTTACACAAATCATTTCCACTTCTCAGACCCCTGATTACATCCTCTTAGTAATATGTTTCTATTAATTATCAATGGCTTCAATATTTTATTATTTTTACTAATTACAATCTTCTATCCTACATAATGTACTATATTTCATAGTAAAGGTATTACTAACATCTACTTAATTATTTTTTTCTAAAGTATTCATTAGATTGCTTAACCTCAGTGTTCCTATGTTCCTTTCTTTTGAAGCTGTGAGGCATAAGGCCAAATCTGGCTAATTGCTGCAGGAAATGCAGATTATTAAGTTTAGACTATTTTTCACTTATGCTCACTAGTCTCTGCCTATTTACGTAGGTGCCTGTATGTAATAGTGGGGATCTATGGATTCTGGCTGATAATGGATTGTGGTGAGATCCGTAGGGGTCAGTCAACTTTACTTTAGTTTGTTATCTGCTTTTGTAATCTCATAAATGCAGTTATTTGTACTTAGGTTTTCCTTGAGTGGGAGTGGCTCATACAATTCCCTTTGAATTCAAACCACTGAAGTTGAAACAATTATTGCCAGACAGGTTTCTTCCCAAGGCCTGCAGAGCTCACAGTAAAAAGCTGTGATTATGGCCATATTATATATTTTTACAAGTGAATTCAGAGTTATCCTAGAGAGAAGATAGAAGCCAGCTTCTGAGAATCATCTGCTTTACAAGACGTTTCTCCTTCTCCTGGGACCCTGTCAAACAGCAGAAGCCAAGCTGCATGCGTGACTGAAGAACCCACCAGTGGTGAGGGTGGGGGGTGTCCACTTGCTCAAGTACCCCCTCTAGTCACCAGAAAGGAGATGTGCAAACAGTGGGCAGCCAATGAACAGATACCAAAAAAACAAAATCAAAGTAAATCTGACAAAGTGTATTGTCCATCTCTGCTCTGAGGTTCCCGCGGTGTTTTTCCATGGTGTGTCTGCTCCCCCACTTGGTCTTGCTCTTTGGTCTCACCCAAGTTGTCGACTCAACGCTGCCAAGCCCGGGAAATTGAAATGCACATGACTTCTTACTTTTCAACTTCAAACTTTTAAAGTATTCCTACCCATGTGGTTCTGAGTTGTGGAGCTCTTCACTGAACCTGCTTTGCCTGGTATTCTGTGGTATGGCTGACACGATGGTCTGAGGATGGTTGGAGCAAAGTCAACGGGAGAGGCTTAGATTGGGATCTATGAGAAATGTGGTTCAAGGACCCTGGGGGGCATTACACCACAGAACTATGCTGCCAGGTGGTTCGTGAGGGAGTGGTCATTGAGAGAGGAGGCTACACTTCCCAGGGAATCAAAGTGCTCCCTTCTCAGAGGGTCCCAACTTCTGTCCCCAGGTCCACATTAGATTCAATAATCATTTACTGAGATTCTACACTTCACCTTTTCCGGGACCAAAGTGCTGTGGAAATCTGGGCTGAGAATGTGAGTTCTCTATGTCTTCTCTGATGAGGGAGTAAGGTATGTGGCTTGGACTACAGCTCTATGTGAAAGCAATATTTACTAAAAAAGACTAAAGCATCATGGGAGAGAATTGGCCGAGCTACCTTCCAACTTCAGGAACCCTTGGGGTTTCTCGACATCTTCCCTTGACGTGAAAATGGAGGACCTTCTTACGCACTTATTTCTATGCTCTTCACTCTCTTGGGGACTTGCTCTGAAGCCTCTCAAAGCTGGGGAGATGGAGGTGTGTGTTGGCAGTATTTTCTTCTCCAGTGTCCAATGAGGTGTGACTTATCACCAAAGTCTTGCCCAGACGCCCTGCAGACATAGGACTTCTCCCCTGAGTGTGTCTTCTGGTGTTTAATGAGGTCTGACTTACGGCTAAATCCTCGTCCACAGTCCCTGCAGAAATACGGCTTCTCCCCTGAGTGTGTCCTCTGATGTACACTGAAGAGTGATTTCTGACTAAAGCCTCGCCCACAGTCCCTGCAGACATAAGGGCTTCACCCCTGAGTGTGTCCTCTGGTGTGTAGTAAGGTATGACTTCTGACTAAAGCCTCGACCACACTCCATGCAGACATAGGGCTTCTCTCCTGAGTGTATCCTCTGGTGTTTAATGAGGTTTGACTTCTGGGTAAAGCCTCGTCCACACTCCCTGCAAACATAGGGCTTCTCCCCTGAGTGTGTCCTCTGGTGTGTAATGAGGTTTGACTTAGCACTAAAGCCTCGTCCACACTCCCTGCAGACATAAGGCTTCTCCCCTGAGTGTGTCCTCTGGTGTATAAAGAGGTATGACTTGTGACTAAAGCCTCGTCCACACTCGCTGCAGACATAAGGCTTCTCCCCTGAGTGTGTCCTCTGGTGTGTAATGAGGTATGACTTCTTACAAAAACCTCGTCCACACTCCTTGCAGAAACAAGGCTTCTCCCCGGAAGGTGTCCTCCGGTGTGTAATGAGGTTTGACTTCTGTGTAAAGCCTCGTCCACACTGCCTGCAGACATAGGGCTTCTCCCCTGAGTGTGTCCTCTGGTGTCTAATGAGTTTTGACTTCTGAGTAAAGCCTCGTCCACACTCCCTGCAGACATAAGGCTTCTCCCCTGAGTGTGTCCTCTGGTGTACAGTGAGAACTGACTTCTGACTAAATCTTCCTCCACACTCCCTGCATACATAGGGTTTCTCCCCTGTGTGTATTCTCAGGTGTATAATGAGGTATGACTTCTGGCTAAAGCTTCGTCCACACTCCCTGCAGACAGAGGTCTTCTCCCCTGTGTGTGTCCTCTGGTGTGTGATAAGGCTTGACTTAGTACTAAATCCTCGCCCACATTCCCTGCAGACATAGGGCTTCTCCCCTGAGTGTGTCCTATGGTGTATAGTGAGGACTGACTTCTGACTAAAGCCTCGCCCACACTCCATGCAGACATAGGGCTTCTCCCCTGTGTGTGTCCTCTGGTGTTTAATGAGGTTTGATTTCTGACTAAACCTTCGTCCACATTCCCTGCAGACACAGGGCTTCTCTCCTGTGTGTGTCCTCTGGTGTGTGATAAGGCTTGACTTAGCACTAAAGCCTTGCCCACACTCTCTACATGTAAATTTTGCAATTCTTGGGATTCCTTTCCCTGGGAATAATTTGCCTGTATCCACAGCATTCATTCTCTGGCCCGGGCATGGGTCTGTCTGCGTCATTCTGTTAACCTCCCTAGAACTCCCCATTTGGTCTTTGGGTAGACTAGAGAAGGTCTTTAAAATGCCCCCCTGTCTTGTCCTTTCAAACATGGCTTTGGACACATCTCCCATCTCTAGACCTTCTGCTATGTCATTCGTGACGAGTTGCTCAGAATGCGGCTCCTTCCCATCCCCTGGATGGCGGTGTTCTAGGTGAAGGTGTTTTTCTGCAGGAGTTCTTGGAGAGGACTGAGAGGGATGGGTGTGCTGCACTTGTTGATGGAGGAATTTCTGTCCAAACAAGACCAGAGGGCAGGGAGGACATGGCTGGATCTCTGCCTTTGGTTCTCCTGGAAGAGAAAGTTTTCCATCAGAGTCAGTGTAGAAAAGACGGTCTGCTCTCTGCTTTGTGGAAAGAGCTCCTCTTAGGATTACAACACAGGCTCTGACTCCACCAAGTCCTCCTTTATAGGGTTACTTTTCCCTCCATCCTTATTCATTGCATCTTCTTCAGCAATCTGGAAATCCACATCTGGGACTCAAGTGTGGACAATATAGAACTCGCCCTGGTCCACTGACTAAAGGACACTAGTTCCTGCTCACTTGTATCTCTCTCATTTATCCAAAAATTATAAAGTACACATGTGTCCTTTGTCACGCTGCGTTCTGCCTGCTCATACCTGACTCACTTCCCCCAGGCATCCTCGAGCTGAAATGCGATAGGAAGTTCTGTTTCAAATTACATCTCATGCAGACAACTCCCACCTTTGTCCACCACCCCCCTCTCACCTGGGCACTGAAGGAGTCCCCAAGTGGATCCCCAATCACATCTTGATCCTAGAGTCTAACCAAAGCCTCCTCATCCCCAGAGGTTTCCCCGACTCTCAGGACAAACCCTAATATTGTAGCATCAATTTCACACCCTAGTTTCCCCATTTCTCTCTCTATAGGAGCTCTGGTGTTGCTGGAGGATAAAGTTGGAAGTTCAAACCCACCAGCTGTTCAATCGGAGAAAGATGACACTTTCTGCTCTCATAAAGATTTACCGCCTCGGAAACCCTACTCAATGTTACTATGAGTAGGAATGGATTCATGGTCATGGGTGTGGGTCTGTCCCACTTTCCTCTGCTCCCCTCAGCCGCTTGTTCTGCAGGGGTCTCCTGGCTGTTTTTCAAATACCATCTTGACTGCCTCATGAAGTTGCATGCATTTCTTTGTGCACGCGAGTCTTCTGCCCACAGCTATGTGAACGTCTCAGTCCACCTGCTCATGAGTAACGTGAGGCAGCTGTTCCCGTCACCTCTGCCGTACTGGATCCTTTCACACACAGAATATCCTCCCCTGCAATGAGTTTCTGTACAACACTAATGAGGGTCTGGGGTGACACGCATGTGGGTGCTCCGTTGGGTGTAGTAGGCGGATGTGCACGACCACCGGTATAGTTCACTATCTGTTGTGGTACACATCTGAACAAATTCACTGTCATGTGTTGGATCATGTGTTCGCATGCTCACTGGCATGACACACACATGCATGCTCATTAGTATGACATGTGTGGGCATGTATTCTGTATGTTGGTGCTGTTTCTCTACTGAAGCCACTCTGCTGTCTTGATGAATCTGTAGTTCTAGTTACTGGAACCGCATCTAATAGAGCAGGCTCTCACCTGCTTCTTTTAACAATTCACTGAAATGATGACTGAGTGAATGAATGTTTTAGTAATGTGGAGAAGTTTAAGAAGAAAGTGGTAGGGGCCACAAAACCACCTTGGTAGAAACTAGAAGGTGCCTAAGAACTTGTTTTGGCCTGAAGTGCTGTTATACAATGTATGCCTGACCACGTGCCCATCCACGTGGCCAGGGAGCAGCTGGGCACAATGACCCTCCTTCCTTCAGAGGCACTTTATGATGAACTGAGCAGACTCTAGGCATCTTCTAGCGCTTCCCAAACAAGGTAAGTAATGAGGCCGGTGTCCTCATTCTCCAACAGACACCCCTTTCCTTTTGTGGATCCCTCCCCACGCACCAGCCATCTCCAGGACTCTCAGTGGGCCTCCCACTTCCCCCTTACCGTGGGTGTCCTCCCCATGCTCTCCTCCATGACTCTTGGTGAGCTTCATGCTGTCAGCATCACCCACAGGTTCTGAGAGTTCCAGCCCAGGAGCACAGTGCCTGTGGAAAGAAGAGGTGGCAGTCAGGACAGCCACCCAAGTCACAGCCCTGTGCCAAGTGTATCTGGAACTAGGGTCGGAGGAGAAGGACTATGGGAAGTCAGAGTGTTTGGGGGTTACAAGTTCTGATGCAGTAGCACAGACAAGGGGTCGTGGGGGTGTAGACTGGCGTTTCTCAGAGAAGTGTTTGGGGTCTCCGACAGGAAACTGTGGAGAGATCTGTCAGTACAGCAGGCTGGGTATCTAAGAGCAGGGATCTGTAGACTGATGGGATATAGAGTCCTTCAAGCTGCGGGGCTTTAGACTCTCTCAGGGTGAGGAGATTTGGGATTTCATAGAGAAAGGGGCTTTTGGATCATCTAGGTTAAGAGTTTGGGGGACCGTAGGATGAGGTTATTTGTAGTCTCTGAAGCTGAGGTGATTTGGGTCCTTTATGGTTGGGGGATTTGCTATCAGTTGGGAGAATAGAATTTGAGGTTTTTCTGAATGATGAGATTTTAGGTACTTAGGTTGAGAAAATGAAGGATCTATCATATTAAGGGGATAAGAGCCTGGGTACCTCAGACTCATTCAGGAGATTTAGGGTCTCATGAAATGGATTTAAGGTACAAAACAATGGGTTATTTAGGGTTGCTCAGGCTGAGGAGAGGAGCTCCTGAGTACCCTGGATGAGGAGAATACAGGATCTCTGAAGTAGGGTTAATATGGGGTCTCTGTGGTGAGAGTTTCAGTGTTTCTCAAATTAATGGAATTAAGGTCTTTCAGGCTCCGGATGTTTGATGGTCTCAGAACAAGGGAAATCACTCGTCTGTCAGTTTGTTGGAAGCTAAACCACTGGTATTCCAAATTCCATTGGGGTTACCCATGGGGAACAAGATTCAGCAGAGCTTCAAGATGAGGACAGATTGGAAAACAGAACCTGCCATTAACTGATATTGTGCCAGAAGATGAGGCCTTAGGTTGGGAGGCACTAAAATAAGACTGTGGAAGAGCTCCTTCCTCAGAGGAGTCAACCTGAATGATGAGGATGGAATGGAGCTTGTGGGAACCTTTACTTGCTGATGGGGTACGACTCAAAATGAGAAGAAACAGCTGCAAACGTCCATTAGAGACAAAGCCATGGAGGAAAACTGGAAGTCCTCCAAAATGCCAACGTCCATTAGAAATAAAAACGTGGAGTGTATGACATACAGGAAAACTGGAAGTTACCAAAAATGAAGTGGAAAGCTTGAAGATTGGCAGCCCAGGCATTAGTGAGCTGAAATGAACTGGTATTGCCTATTATAAATCAGACAGTCATATGGTCTACTGTGCTGGGAATGACAAATGGAAGAGGATCAGAATTGTAGTCAGTATCACAAAGAATATTTCAAGGTCTGTCCTCAAGTATTATAATGTCCGTGATAGGGTAACATCAACCCTACAAGGAAGACCATTGAATATGATTATTTTTTAAACTTACACATCAACTTATATATGTCAAAGATGAAGGAATTGAAGATTTTTATGAAGTTTTGCACTATGATATTGATCAAACATGCAGTCAAGATTCATTGATAATTACTGGCGATTGGACTGTGAAAAATGGACATGGAATGATCAGTGGTTGGAAAATATGGCACTGGGGCCAGAATCAACCCAGAAGATCTCACTTAGAATCTTATAAAACCAATGACTTACTCATTACAAATACCTTTTTACAACAATACTAATGGTGGACCTCATCACATGGGATACACAGGGATCAAATTGACTACAGCTGTGGAAAGAGATTATGGGGAAGCTCAGTATCATCAGGCAGAGCCAGGCTATAGGGGCAGATTGCAGAATAGACCAGCATTTGCTCATACTCACATTCAAGTTGAAGTAGAAAACAATTATAGTAACACTTGAGAGACAAAGTATGATCTTATATATCTCTGCTGAATTAAAAGAATATCTTGAGAATAGATTTGACACATTTAACACTACTGATCAAAGACCAGTTGACTTGTAGGATGGCATCAAGATCACATGAAGAAAGCAAAAGGACGTTTGAAAGGCAGGAGAGAGAAAATATAACAATGGAACTCTGAAACTAGCTCTGGAATGTAGAATACCAAAAACAAATGGAACAAATGATGGAGTAAAAGAGCTGAACAGATTTCAAATCAAAGCTGAAGAAGAAAAGGTATTATAATGCAGTGTGCAAAGACCTTGGATTAGAGAACCAAAAAAGAGGAACACAATGGGCATTTCTCAAGGTGAAAGAACTGAAGCACAAATTCAATCCTCGAGTCACAGCATTGAAGGAGAGTCTCTGGCTGTGTTTATCAGGAGGGACCACTCATGCTTGGAGAAGTGGAGGGTCAGAGAAAAAGAGAAAGACTCTCAATGAGATGCATTAACATAGTGGTTCCAACAAAGGGTCTGAACATAAAAATAACCCTGAGGATGCACAGGCCCAGGAAGTGTTTAGTTCTGTTGTACACAGGGGCACTGTGAATCAGAACTGACTCCATGGCACCTAACAACAACATGAGTAAAACACTGAGCAATGCGGACAACATCCAAAGAATAAGGGAGGAATAGAGTTACTGTGCCAGAAAGACTTGGCTGGAGTCCTGGTGTGGTGCTGTGGGTTAATGTACTGGACTACTACGTCGTCAGTTTGCACCGCAAAGTCGGCGGTTTAAGCTCATGAGCTCCTTGGAAACACTATACAGGGTCGGTATGGGTCAGAACTGACTTGACGGCACTTTACAACAACATCCATTTCAGGAGGTAGTATATGATCAAGAATCAACAGGAATGAAGGAAAAAGTTCAAGCTTCACTGACAAAAAACAAGACTCCAGGAAGTGACAGAATTT